GTGTGTGTGTGTGTGTGTGTGTGTGTGTGTGTGTGAGAGAGAGCACTGCATTGTGTTCCAGCCCCTCAAGCGGCTGCGTGGTTTCGATTTTTTTTTTTTTTTTTTTTTTTTTTTTTGGTCTGATGGACCACGGATCAGATAGTAAACTGATCAGAACAGATACTACACTTGATCTATTCTTAGCCAAAAGGCCGACAAAGGTATTGGGTGGGGAGTGTTTTATGTATATGCTATATTTGCTTCTTTGTTTGTTTGGTTGGTTGTTTGGGTGGGTGGGTGGGATTTTAATCTGTTTTTTTTTGTTTTTTTTGGGTAAGCTATATATATAATATATTTAATTTGGCAAGGTTCTATGCTGCACCTCAATTGTGACTTTGTGTCCCTTGCTGTTTTAAGGAATTACAGTCTTGACCCGAATAAAATGCCCCCATAATTATAGCGCTGTATCTGGACTGAAAGTTGCCCCTAGTACTCCGCTGTAATGACCGGGCGTTCTATTTGGGTGAAGACGGTAGTTGGACTTCATGCAGTGGATTTCGCGGAGAAGCCTTTGAATGTCCTCTGTATCTGGCCGTCGTCGATACGGTAAAGAACGAGTACCCGTCACATAACTATGAATTTATTGATTCTCAAAATTATTATTATTACTATTATTTTTTTTTTTTCGAAATTCTCAGCTGTTCTTGCTTGCCAGTGCCACTACATTCCATCTGCATGCATTGCAATTCGCTTTTTGTTTTTATTTTTTATTTTTCAATTCAAACATTTTTTATTTTTTTATTCAAACATCGGAGGAAGATCTGTGGTGTGGTGGTGGTTAATGAACCAACACAACAGGATCAAGGCCTTCTCTAGAGGATGGCTCCCGTTCCGTTGGCGGTGACATTTGTGTGGCAGGAAGTGTCAGTTCTGCGACATTGCTGTGCCATTTGTGTCACGTTTGTGCGACATTTGTGGTACTGTTAATGCCTTTTTTTTTTTTTTTTTGCAAAGAAAGAAATTATATTACAAGGCGTGAACCGCGCCTGGCGTCCCTGTTGCTGCCTTTACAATCGCAGTTTATTTACTCTCTTCCCCCTGCCCCGTGCCGCCCCCCCCCCAAAAAAATAAAAATAAATAAAATAAAAAATTGGAGCATTTCTCGGTTTGTGCGTGTCATCCTGTTTTTCCCCCCTCCTACTCTTCCTGCTATGTCAATCAGGAAAACTAAGTCTCTACCAAAACCCGAAAAAAAAGAAAAAAAAGAAAAAAGAAAAAAGGAAAAAAAAAAAAGGAAGAAAAGAAAAGAAAGAAAAACGAAAAAGAAAAAAGAAAAAGAAAAAAAGTCGGTACATTGGAAGGTCCCCACCGTTGAAAATTAGTAAATTATGTACATTGCCAGGCTACAAGAGTGGCCCGGGACCACTTCCCCGGGTGGGCCAAAAAAAGAAAAAAAAGAAAAAAAAGAAATTCGAAATTGGTAAAGTTCGATGTGACCCTGAGGCAAAAGTTGTTTCGTTTATTTTCTGCATAACATAGTTTTTTTTCGGGTTTTTTACCCCCCCTGGTCCTTGCACGGCCGGGCTGACCTGGGTGGGCCGGCTGGTAGCCAGGCTACATTGCAAATTATGTAACTAATTAATGAATAATCAATTAATTCAGCCAGCTGTGCCGCTGCAAGCCCCAGAGCAAAACGGTGGAGAGGGATAAAAACAAAAAAAAACAAAAAAAAAAACGATGGAGAGGAGTGACAGTAGCATCTCGGCTAGCTATGCTTGTGCCCTGATCCAGTGTAAGCTTCCTGATAGCTGTGGCAGCAGCAGCCATAGCTGACAGCAGCCATAGCTGGCAGCATCTTAGTGATATAGCTATGGCTGCAGCCACAAGCTTAGTGAGGAGGAGGAGCGGCAATGCTACCCCTCCATCTTCTTCTTCTTCTTCTTCTTCTTCCAAGAAACAGAAAAGAAGGTCGCCAGTTCTGTTTTTTTTTTCTGAGTTGAATGCCCGAGTGTTATCAGTTTTTCTTAATAAATAAATGTAATTGATTATTAATATGTTATATTGTTTCTTTTGCCCTGTGACTAATGGCTCTGATTATTCTTTGTGCACACACACACACACACACACAC